CACTGCATGAAATATAATTGTTTTAACCCTTTCACCACTGTAGACCATAATGGACTCATCCAGATCAATGCAAGGTAGAGTATATAAAGTTTCATAGGGGTGGAAGGGTTAAAGGGATTGAGGACAAAAGTTTGGTGAGCAAAAATATTACAATTTACATCATTTTCATTGGCTGCCATCAGTGTAAATCTTAATAAAACAACAACATTTACCCCAAAACAGAGGGCCTATATAATAGAACAAGTCTGCATAGCTAACCACAACATTGACTTCACACACTCATACACATCTATCAACACTGACTTCACACACTCATACACATCTATCAACACTTAACGAGTCGGAGAACAAGTTTGTTAGATCAGGGCCCATTATCAAACTGTTCTCGCGCTCAAACCGACTTTCTTGTAACTCCATTAACCATTTCACCCCTAGGTAACTTTAGTAGACTCTACCAAACATTGATCTGGATGAGTCCATTATGGTCTACAGTGGTGAAAGGGATAATCATGTTACATGGTAAAAGTCAAGTGTAAACATTCCAAACAGTATTTGGCTTAAAATCTTTCCAGATTTCTTGCACAACATTGACAAGATATAATTTTTGATATTAATTCATAACTGGAACGAGACATCGGTTTGAGCATGAGAACGGTTTCATTAATACCGGCCCAGGTGTTTAGGGAACGGATTTAAAAGATTGACAGTTGGGTTGGAGGAATGAGGAAACCAGGACGGAATACTGTCTGCGTAATATATAACATTTTGTATAGATCATGTCTATATTATATATACTGTCTACAATATGCATCTTGTCTCCATGATTTTGTTTCTTGTCGCCAAAATTACATGTAGGATTTGCAATATACAATAAAGCCACATGTTTCGCAACTTAAAAATCTTCCCTCATTTCATTCCAAGGGGTAACAAAGCTTGAAGGTCTAGGGATCACTCTCTCTATAAATGAAATGAAATAAAATGAAAATACTGAAAACATTAACCCTATGAACTAACGGTGCTAACTTGAACGACATGTTCTGCATTATGACATCAATCCCAGATTTCATCAACATTCCTTAGGTATAAGTTGTACCCCTTTTTTTCACTTCACAATTAAACTGTTGTTCCTATATTGCTATGGTGACATCAAAGTTCAGGAAATTTCATTTAATTGTTTTATGGAACTGAAGTCAATACTTTCTGACATTATATAACAATTATTCTGTACAAAAAAATATTCATATCAGGGAAAATGAAATTCCTGAAGCTATAAATAGAAAAGCAACAGGGTCAATGGGTCATAACAATGTCATGTGACTAGGATTACTAATTAATGTTGTTTAGATTTATACGAACATTTCCTCTCTCAAACATTTTCCCGTGGTCATACGACCATCTTCTCCCTCACTAGACAGCTAACGTATCAATTGCATTATGGCACTGAAAAAATATCTTATAAAATATTTGTACAATTCATTATTGGCTCTTTAATATTTACACACAAATAATCTCTGTGTTTTGCGTAAGGTCATACACAATGTATCCAGCATGTATATGCTATTCATACATATATTCCGTCTTTGCATATTGCAGAGTTGTCTTCCCTTGTGAGCAGGTATTGATTGTTACGTCATTGGTTTTTGTGAGAAAATTACGTCGTTTTCTCAAAAATTGATGACGTTACACTCACAAACCAATGACGTAACAATCGATACCTGCTCACAAGGGAAGATAACTCTGCAATACGCAAAGACGGAAAAAACATCCGTGTATATTTAGACCAAAATGACCAGTTGTGTAAACCTTTACCTGGAATATTCCTATCGGGCGACTGCAATTAATGTCAGCTGTTTAGGTGTACAGTGATACACTTGTTAGGAAACCACTATTTACGGAACAACTGGTTTCTCTGTTTTTAAATGTTTCATTTTTTTGGCATAAATCCTAGTAGACCGGCTAATCTGTATGCAGGCCTTGCAAGGCTCATCTGAAAGCAGCATATTATTACTAGGTCTGACCTTATTTCATAAACAAACATGTACAATTCTGGTCCAACTGGTTAAACCGTTTGGATCGCGATAAACGAAAGCGGCCCTGTAACTTGGGTCAGTTTCAATGAGCATCTTATCAGAGAATTCACTCGAATGTATGTAAGCAGTAGGGTAATCAGAGGTCAACAGGACGAGTATTTCTGGTCTAAATATACATTATAAACAACATCCATCAACAAATAATTACCATGTACATTTTTACATCCAAGTCATACGTATATACACCATGTATATGGCATTCATACACAAATAAACTCAATATACATACATATACATCATGTATATGGCATTAATACACAAATAAACTCAATATGCATACATATACACACCATGTATACGGCATTCATACACAAATAAACCTACTGTACATACATGTACCGAATTTGCTGTAATAAGCATCCAGGGCACCACTTGAAGGGTGCCTATAACATTTCAATTCCTGTTGAAAATGGAGAGCCAAAAGAGCGCTAATATAACCACAGGAAATATAGTAGCATTCAAACACAAAATCAATGTACATAGCATTCATACACATATAAACCTTATTTACATACATGAACCGTATTTGCCGTTATTAGCACCCGGGACACTTTAAAATTGTCTTAAAAAGAAAGGGAGGGGGGCTTATTAGGAAAATAACCCAGTTATGAATCAAATCTTTCATCCGCTTCATCGGAAGTCCAGTCATGATCACCAGACTTACAATTGTAAAGCTTTGCTTTATTTTGCAAGTTCTATAAATAACTGACTTGGTCTGGTCAGGGCTTGAATGGGCCTTTATAATTTAAATTCCTCCTGAAAATGGGGAGCCCGAGGGGTGTGTGGGGGTGTGTGTGTGCTAATCATGGCAAATACGGCGGTAGCATTCAAATACAAACTCAATGTACAGAGTATTCATATATACAAATAAACTTAATGTACATGTTTTACATCCAGTCACACGTAAACATAAGGTACCATTTGGTGGACATTGCATTCATTCATGATCACTTAACATAATTTTCTTAAAATATACTAAACAATTCAAAAACAATATTGAACACATTTCAATCAATATACAAAAATATATATTGAATGCAAGGTTTATGTATAAAAAATGTATCAAAAAAAAAAGTTTAAAATAACACTTAACAATAGGAATATTAACAACAGCTATGCATCCAGCATATATATATAGCGGCTATTGGACATCTCAAAACTTATACATAACTGATAACATACACCATCATAAAACTGATTTAGAATCCAAAGGATTTTTTTTAGGTTTTGGTTTCAATAGAACCAACCAGTCAAATGATCTAATATTTTTCATTAGGCAAAAAAAAATAATGTTTTCCATTACCCCATATCTACCTTCTATAATTTTGTGTGCCTACCCTTAACTTGTTTTTTTAGCAATTTTCAAGAAAGCACTGTTCAAGTCCACATCAAAGTCCTATATAAACCTTATGAAAAATTAAAGATGAAATGTATTATCTACAATCCACAGTAATTTTCTTTTCCTATGTAACTGGACACATTCTGTTTGTTTTGCCTTATACAGAACCTTTCTTTTCACTTCTCATTTGATACTTTTACCAAAAATGTTGAAGAGTCTATCTTTTCCAAATTCAAACATAAATGTAATCTTTTGTGAAATTCATTTCAGACACGGTTGTCGTTGCGTTCAGAAATGTAATTGTCTGGAATATGACAAATCAGAATAACACACACCGACTTCTGTATTCACAGAAATGTTCTTCCAGTAAATAATATAGACTTGTGTTTCTGACAATAAAGAATACAGACTTCTGTATAAATTAAATGACACTTGTAATACATTTCTCACTTTTGTATAAATGACACTTGTAATAAATTTCCACTTTTGTATAAAAAGTGATTGCGATTAATGACACTCGTAAAAAAAATCTGACTTTTGTAAATTGTATAAATGACACTTGTAATAAATTTCTCACGTCTGTATGACACTTGTAATACATTTCTCACATTGTATGACACTTGTAATAAATTTCTCACGTCTGTATGACACTTGTAATTCATGAAACTTGTTATATATTTCTCACATAAGTATAAATGACACTATGTTATATTCAACATTTGTTTAAAATAAACTTACTATTGTTAAAATAACATTTTTATATAACACTTGTGGTACCATTTCTTTATGATGTATGACACTTGCAATAAATTATTTTCACTGTTCTATAAATCATACTTTCAATGGTTTTCTCAATTTGGTTATAATAATTTACTGTTGCTATATGAAAATTTGGTTATAATAATTAACTGTTGTTTTATGACACTTGTAATAAATAACACTTTAAATCATTTAACTCTTTCTCTGTCACTTGTAAAAAAAAAAAATTATGACACTTAAACTTAAACAATGATTTCCTTAAATATTGTACATGTACATCTACTGGTAACAAGTTTCTCTATCATGTATACATGTAGCTTACTGTAAACCTGGAATTTCCACAATCTTTTAACTTGTTTTCTATTTCCTAAAAAATATTTAGAAATGTGTTTTTAAGAACTCATAAAACTCCATATATTTTTGTTCCTATTAAAAAAGTTTGGTATATTTCACAAGTGTGATTGATGGTTATACATTCCTTTCATGGACACAGTCAGAAGTAATAAGGTCAGAAGTGTAAAAATATGTTGGATTATTTTGACATTTTTTCCTTAACAACTGAGAACTAGAATTATGAAGGACTAGAATGTAACGGTATATTTTACCTACACAATATACTTTATAAATGATAAAGCTCTGAGCAGAATAAACAGATTGTGTTCTAGCTCACATTACTTATCTCAAACTATAGATGATCACAATATGTTAATTAAATAAATGCCTGTTCTTGAAAATTTTATTTTTAGAGTTTTTAGACATAATATATATACAGTTTTTCAAAATGGACTTTAACTTTTAGAAAAGGAGATTTTTTTTTTTAAAGTATTTTACAAAAACTTTGTGTCATTATTGAATATTGCTAGCGAACTAGTTTTAACCCTTTCACCAGTGTAAACCATAATGGACTCATCCGGATAAATATATGATAGAGTCTACTAAAGTTACCTAGGGGTGAAAGGGTTAAGACAGCTAGCTTTTAGAGTTTTCAGGTACATGTAGATAGCCTTTAAACCACTATATACACCGTAATAATTTTGTTGTCTGATTACAGTAAAATGATACCAATTATTCTATAATTCTTCAACTGTGTCCGTTGCTGGCCATTTCCTGTTTCAACATCATAAACCTCATCATTTCCTCCCGGGATGAGGTCACTTTGTCTGAAGGGGTCAAGTTTGACGACTTTGGTGACCCAGAGTGACTGACATCTTTGTTTCGTGGCGAAATTGATGGCGAATGAAGCAAGCCTTCTTGACTAAGTCTGTGTAGGTTATGTGACCTAGGCACTTGTGGTGACTGTGACCTTGACCTATCCCTGTTGAAATGCTGGTGATGACTAATTTCAGGGGAATAAGCAGTGCTGGTATCGAAATTTCCTCCGGGCATAACCCTGCTGCCTGAGAAAGGATACATATGGGCCCCAGCAGCCATCGAGGCCGCCATTGCCATTTGCATCTGGTGCAGCTGCAACAAGTACATCTGTTGGGGATCAATGCCTAAATTAGGGACCAAAGGGAGGTAATTCTGCTCTGGAGGAATGACTTTGTTGACATTTTGACGTCTGCGCCTTTTCTGTTTTGGTTTGGCGTGAGTGGATGACCTGTCAGAACTCAAACCTCCCTCAGTTGGATATTGAGAAACCTCTCTGGATACAAAGTCTTTTGACGACTGCATATTGTACGGACTAGAGTTGTCTTCCCTTTGCTCGCCTGAACTTACATTGCTATTACTCACAGTGTGGTCATCTGTAGATGATGTCACATCCTCTTCCCTCGTGTTACCATGGCCTATCAACTCACATTTCATTTTATATGACCTTGACCTCTTATCCTCACTTTCAAGACTTGACGACCTTGACCTTGACATTTCTGTTTCCAATGAAGATGCTGTGGACAAATGGTCAGAACTCATGGGAGATATAGACTCACTCAGCCGTGCAGAATGTTGGTCTAAGTGACCTTGACCTTGTCTGAGAGAGTTCTGGTGAAGGTCATATGAATTAGAACTCAGATGAATATCGAAAACAGACATAGCTGGGTTTTGTGTACTATTAACACAGGATCCATTGTGAAGTGGATGTTGTGACGATTCCTTTCGATGTAGACTTGCCGTATTTTTAAAATGAAACTCGGTAATGGATGAATGTTTTGAAACACCTGTGTGATGTAGATCTGTCGTCATTCCCACTCTCGGTCCAGTCATTGGGTGTAGTTCTGAACCAATCTTGCCTTTAATAAAATTTCTTTCAAAAGGTTCACGTTCCTTTCCACCATTATCGAAAACTTCCTGTTCATTTGGATTCTTGAGAAGATGCTCAATGGAATACCTCTGTTTTACTGTCTGTCCATTTTTCTCCTGTCTTTTTTTTCCTTCTGTCGTTTCAGACTTCATTCTAATGTTTCCCATATTGTCTTCAGTATCGGGATTTATTGTCATTTTTTGGTCAAGTGTAACATCAGATTTAATGTCATCCATACTTTGTGACATCTGGCTGCATTCTTTCTTAATCCGTTCAGAAAAATCTTCACAATCTGATTTATTTCTCTCAACAGGATGTTCTGCAGATGAGACTTTGTCTTGATACGGAAATTCTGCTCTATTGGCATGATTGGCAACGGTGGTTACCAAACGTTTTGCAATGTCAAATTTTCTGTAGTCATGCTGCCCTTCATTTGCAAGGGGAGATAACTCTCCTGATTCTGTGTCAAAATCTGATTCCATAGTATCTGATGCTGTGCTTTCCTCTCTACGTTTTATATCCTCCAGTGGCTGATCCATCAAGTCCTCCTCATCTTCGTTCATGTTATGACCAAGACCTATTCCGTCGTCAAATTTATAAGTATCTTCGCAGCCAACAGTGGCCATTGTCATATCGGGCAACACAGCTTTAAATTTGCCAGCTGAACTAACATTAAGATCATTACATCCATTTTCATCCTCGTTATCAGACAGCTGTGATTTTAAAGGCAGATCATTTTCACCAGGTGATGGATCATCGTGACATTCTCCCTCCATAACTGGGCTGTTTATTGGAGAGCCGGATGACTGTGAAAGGTCACTCACTCCAGACGTGGTCAGGGGACTAGGAGTGCCGCGGGATCCTTGACAGAGCCCTGGGTACAGGGCTTGGATGTCGACCTGAGTACGAACATCAGATTCTTCCTCGCCAGTATTCTGTGCATGTTGTCGGACGTGCTTGTATAGGTGGCTTGTCTGAGCAAAATCTTTCCCACAGATCTTACACCTATAGGGTTTATCAGTGCTGTGCATACGTGAATGTATCTTCAGATGATGACGATGAATGAAAGCCTTGTCGCAAATGTCACACTTGAACGGACGAAGACCGGAGTGCATCTTTTTGTGCTGCCTTAATACACAAGCTTTACTGAAGGATTTCCCGCAAACCTCACATGTGTGAAGCTCAGCGGCGCTGTGTGTTTGCACGTGTCTTTGGAGCTCTGCATTGTCACTGAAGGATAAACTACACACACCACAGCTATAGGTCCGCTCTCCTGTGTGGGACCCGATGTGCATCTCCAGGTAAAACACCTCGTTAAAGGTACGTCCACAGATGTGACACTTGTAGGACTTTCCATTGTGTACGCGGAGATGTCTCCGTAGGTTGTTGTACTGGCTGAACTCACGGTCGCATTGTTCACACTTATAAGGCATGTCTCCTGTGTGCGTCTTACGCATGTGACGCTGCAGTTCATAGCTGTCGAGGAACTCAACCTTACAGATGCCACATACACACACCTTGGTGCTATGAAGTTTCATGTGGTTGTGGAAGTTTCCGACCTGGGAGAACTTCCTGTTGCATACTTTACACTCGTAAATTTCCACCACCGTCTTATTCTTGTCCACTTGAAGGTCTGTGGCCTTCACCCTGGAGCGACGACTCACCTTGGCGGCTTTCACAGGGCCTGGTTTGCCCTGCATAAAGGGAGACAACTGCTGTTGGAAAGACATAAGACTCTGTTGCATATCCGATGGCATGACGTTATAGTTCGGATTAGGAGGTGATGCCCCACTACCATTCATCATCATTAGATGCTGCTGCAGGCTGAATGGAAATGACAAACCATTGAACCGTCCGGCATCGGCTCCTGCAGACAGACCTTGACCTTCGCTTTGTAGGAGATGACCTTGACTTTGGTTCTGAGGGGACAGAACTTGACCCTGGTTATCTGACTGCTGACCATGACTCTGGATTGGATGATGCTGACCTTGCCGGTTACCATGATCTTGACCTCCGTTGTCAGGCATATGATACTTACGCTTGCCATACGGAAATTGAAATTGGCTTTTTGTCAAAATATTAGACTCCAGACTGTCTTTGTGACTTGGTTCATAATTTATTTCTTCATTTGAAAAATTGTTTGTAGAGCTGGAACAATCAATCACAAGATGGTTTTCATCTTCCCCTTCAGAGTTGTGACCGGACATCAGATTATCAGCCTCCGATGAGTTGTCTACCAAAAACTGTCCACTCTTAACCATGTCATCGGCAGCTGCTTTTCCTAAATCACTGTTACATCTTTTTCCGAAAGTAGTTTGATCAAAGGAATGACTTTGATCATTACTTGGAGTGGCCTCCCCTTGATGACTCCTGTACGTAGTCACCTCCCCCTCCCTGAAGCTTGGTAGTTTTGTTGTTGATAGGTCTAGTGCCTCACCGGAGTTTGAGGGTGGTTTCGAAAGATCAAGGGCAACACTCTGCAAACTTTTGCGGAAAGGTTTGGATAGAGGACTAGGCTCACGTGACTTGTTCACGATTGGTGAATCGACCCTATTCGAGTGCTTCAGGTTCAAGGCGAGAGGCTCAACAGGATATGGATTGGGCAGTCGCTCAGCTGTGTCCATGGTGATGCCAGCGTGTGTGTAGGCAATGTGGTGATGGAGTTGATACGAACACTGGAACTGTAGCTCACACTTCCCACAGTGAAACACATCTATGGAATAGAAATACACATCATCCATGAGAGAAATGATATAAAACACTACATTACAGCTAGCTATATATAGGACAATACAGGAAGTATTGATACATTACAGCTAGCTATATATAGGACTATACAGGAAGTAATTGATACATTACAGCTAGCTATATATAGGACAATACAGGAAGTATTTGAAACATTACAGCTAGCTATATATAGGACAATACAGGAAGTAATGGATACATTACAGCTAGCCATATATAGGACAATACAGGAAGTATTTGAAACATTACAGCTAGCTATATATAGGACAATACAGGGAGAAATGGATACATTACAGCTAGCTATATATAGGACAATACTGGACAATACAGGGAGAAAATGATACATTACAGCTAGCTATATATAGGACAATACTGGACAATACAGGGAGAAAATGATACATTACAGCTAGCTATATATAGGACAATACTGGACAATACAGGGAGAAAATGATACATTACAGCTAGCTATATATAGGACAATACTGGACAATACAGGGAGAAAATGATACATTACAGCTAGCTATATATAGGACAACACAGGAAGAAATTGATACATTACAGCTAGCTATATATAGGGCAATACAGGAAGTAATTGATACATTACAGCTAGCTATATATAAGACAATACAGGAAGGAATTGATACATTACAGCTAGCTATATATAGGGCAATACAGGAAGTAATTGATACATTACAGCTAGCTATATATAAGACAATACAGGAAGGAATTGATACATTACAGCTAGCTATATATAGGAAAATACAGGAAGTAATGGATACATTACAGCTAGCTATATATAGGACAACACAGGAAGAAATTGATACATTACAGCTAGCTATATATAGGACAATCCAGGAAGTATTTGAAACATTACAGCTAGCTATATATAGTACAATACAGGAAGTAATTGATACACTACAGCTAGCTATATATAGGACAATACAGGAGGTAATTGATACATTACAGCTGGCTATATATATGACTATACAGGAAGTAATTGATACATTACAGCTAGCTATATATAAGACAATACAGGAAGGAATTGATACATTACAGCTAGCTATATATAGGGCAATACAGGAAGTAATTGATACATTACAGCTAGCTATATATAAGACAATACAGGAAGTAATTGATTCATTACAGCTAGCTATATATAGGACTATACAGGAAGTAATTGATAAATTACAGCTGGCTATATATAGGACAATACAGAAAAATTGATACATTACAGCTAGCTATATATAGGACTATACAGGAAGTAATTGATAAATTACAGCTGGCTATATATAGGACAATACAGGAAGGAATTGATACATTACAGCTAGCTATATATAGGAAAATACAGGAAGTAATGGATACATTACAGCTAGCTATATATAGGACAATCCAGGAAGTATTTGAAACATTACAGCTAGCTATATATAGTACAATACAGGAAGTAATTGATACACTACAGCTAGCTATATATAGGACAATACAGGAAGGAATGGATACATTACAGCTAGCTATATATAGGACAACACAGGAAGAAATTGATACATTACAGCTAGCTATATATAGGAAAATACAGGAAGTAATGGATACATTACAGCTAGCCATATATAGGACAATACAGGAAGTAATTGATAAATTAAAGCTAGCTATATATAAGACAATACAGGAAGTAATTGATACATTAAAGCTAGCTATATATAGGACAATACAGGAAGAAATTGATACATTACAGCTAGCTATATATAGGACAATACAGAAAAATTGATACATTACAGCTGGCTATATATAGGACAATACAGGAAGTAATTGATACATTACAGCTAGCTATATATAGGACAATACAGGAAGTAATTGATTAATTGCTTAAAATAAGTTAGTGCTCAGGGACCACTTGTATAAACCTTCTCAAAGTTGAGGGAAAATCCCAAGCAATATATTGTCTAATAATAATAATAATAATTTGAGGTTCTTATATTCCTCTTTATCACAACCTAGTTTGTAGGTCGTCTCAAAGCGGTTCACAAATTATTATCCGTAGTTATAGGGCCTTTGCAATCAGCCAATACCTTTCTCAACTCCCTGGGGAGCATACAGCCGGAGCTGCCATTTGGCGCGAACAGCTAGCATTAAACAATTCTAGCACTGCCCAACCATGTACTCATTTACAGCTGAGTAGACTGGAACAAACAGAGTAAAGTATCTTGCTCAAAGATACAGTGCTGTGCCGTGACTCGAGCTCAGCATAGTACCACTAGACTACCGTGCCTCCATAGGAAATCTTAGACTTCATGAGTTCTCAACAGTTGAGATGTTTTATATAAATACAAGAGGGGCCTGGATGCTCATTATGGCACATATACCAATATCATTATATTTCTCTTTAGAGTCTACTACTATTATGTACAATGTACTTACCATTATCGTTACGATTCTCCGTGTCTGACGAAACTTCCTCTTCTCTCAGCCCGATGTCACCGACCAGAGATGTCCTCTTGATACTGGCCTCCATCACAAATCCTATCAAGTTAAATCAAATGTCACTGAATCAACAGGATGATACAGGAAAAGTCTGAAATTTTACATTATTCATATTTCATATTTACACTCATCAGGCATTTTATCCACATATATTATATATACGGCACTGTGATATATTTTATCACTATTCAAAAATTGTGTTAACTCTAGTTAGCTAACATGTACATACCAAGGGTGTCACATGCATGTGCAGGTAAATGGTTAGGCACCTTTAATCGAAGTAGGTGCAATCATACCTATAATCAGAGACAATGGATCAAAGTAATTATCTATGCATGTAACAATCCCTTAACTGCCTATATTCATTCGTTACAGATTTGTGAATCTGCACTGTATATTACTTACACAAGTTGATGTTTTCATTTTATAATTTCCTGCTTTTAGTCAAACTCATCTTTAATCATCGTCATAAAATTATGTAAACCGACATTTAAAGTGGTTGTGAAGAGGTTTGCATTATTTTTGCAGTGGAACCGGCTTAAGTGCCGTACTTATAATTATCCTACCCCTATAAGCGGTAAACGTACGAGGAAACAAAGACAACAGATCAACAATTTCAATAGCTTCCAAGCTGTTCATTATTAATCTCTACAAAAATTCATGCTTTCCAAAGACTGCACATGGCTGACTGGAACAGACAGCCAGATAATGTTGTGTGAAAAAGCATTGAAGGGCTTCCAGACAGCCCTCGATCCACGGGACTAGTGTATCTGTGAGCTCCTTCTCTCTGGCTGTCTGCATACCCTTATATAAAGGTCCTGCAGCGTATTGATCCAGATCTAGAAGGGTAGCTCATGTACATTTGGTAGAGTATCCATCTAGAGTTCGTAAAGTCATGTTTTTTGTCGGTCTAGCATAGCATTGCATTTCTTTTCTCCTTTTACAGCGATGTCTTTGACCAACCCTGTTATTAAGTATACTGGGTGAATGCTTGACGAACGGGTGAAGACTAAGGAAGAAAGGAGGGAGGAATTAATGTAGTGGTAGTGGGATGGGTGTCAGTAGTATCTAATGTAGTGGTAGGGGGATGGGTGTCAGTAGTATCTAATGGAGTGGTAGTGGGATGGGTGTCAGTAGGATCTAATGTAGTGGTAGTGGGATGGGTATCAGTAGTATCTAATGTAGTGGTAGGGGGATGGGTGTCAGTAGTATCTAATGTGGTGGTAGTGGGATGGGTGTCGGTAGTATCTAATGTAGTGGTAGTGGGGTGGGTGTCAGTAGTATCTAATGTAGAGGTAGTGGGATGGGTGTCAGTAGTATCTAATGTCGTGGTAGTGGGATGGGTGTCAGTAGTATCTAATGTAGTGGTAGTGGGATGGGTGTCAGTAGTATCAATCTAGAGTTCAGGACCGGTTTGACTGTGTATTTCTCCTCTCCTGTTACAGTATCTCTTAGTTATTTTATAATATTATTTATAAATGGATGTTCAAGATACAAAAATAAACATCAATTAATTGTCATGAACTCATGATTACGACTTCAATGGCTTAAGTGTAGGGGGTATCATTACTATGAACGTTGGAGAGGGTTTCCATCGTATGATTGTGTGGGAAGTAGTATAGGCTAACAGAATATGTTTATTGGTACCAGTAGCAGGCAGCAAAAATGCTGGAAGTTACGAGCAATGCAGCATTTTCAGCAAGTTTTAATCATCTAATATTTGGAATTAGCAGAGGCCCCTGTCGGATTGTCCTTTGTAGCACACACACATTACTATGTAGCATAAGGGATTTTCTTGTCTAGCTTTAATTTGAGATCGGGAAGATAGAAATAGCTTTTTTTTTCAATCAGAATAATCAAATCCAGTTTGTTATACATTGTCTAGTCGAACAGATTGATCCGAGAAAGACGCCGAGTTACAGACTGAGAGGGTAACTCTGTTTTCCTTTCGCCATTGTTATGCATGAACCGGTCACGCTTTCCCTAATTTTGCTAAACAAACATTATTGTTAAATATTATTCAACCAAGTCTCAATATATTTACTTCAGATAATCTCGATAACTTTATATTTGAAAATGCAAATGCAACAGGAAATATAGGTTGAGCAGATAATTCAGTAGAATGATAGCATATTGGTGTGTATTGAAGCCACGCGTACGTGTATCTGATTGTAAACAATGTCTGTTTTGGTCGCGAAACCACATGTTATCGCACTAAAAGTTGATAAAAACCACTTGTTGCGGAAGGAATTGAGGAAATATGTAAATATAAACATCACCAGACTACAATGCAACATGCAAAGCAACCGATCCATATTCTTACCTGTCCAATACGAAACATGTTCTTTTTCACCTGTAGAGAGTTTCTTTGTCGAAAATACATCAAATAAGCAGACCCCCTTTGTCTATATACGACACGCGCTTGCAAGGAGATCAACAGGTGCTCCTTTGAGGAAAGCGTTTGAACGACGCGGTATCGACAGGAGAGCCACAAATACTATCCAATCCAATGCGTTCTATTCAAACAGCGCGCGAAAAGGCTTGCCTTTGTACACGTGGAGGCCTTGCACAGGGACCTAATATAATCGTTTCGGGGAAAGATCAGTATCCGATAACATGTTAACCCATGAACAGTTACGGGGAAGTTTTTAATTAAGATACCAGAGAATGGGGCACAAATATTATCAACGGAAGATCTAGGTATTGTTATAATTATAATATTGTTATTCTTGTTATCTAAGTCCGTGACATTACATAATAAATTTACCAGGAAAAAGGCGAAACTGAATAACGACGTACAAATCGTGTATATCTATACACAATACATATATCCGTTCTATGCGTTCTAAACTTTGAAACACACATTTTAAAATTCAATTAAACGGATTTGCCGAAGACAAACCTTTGCTCCTATTCAGGAACAACACATATTTACAAAAATAGCATACATAGATACTGCTGGATTTATTCAGACGAAATTATGATTTTACAATCCATTAATTGACAATCAGCTCTGAAATTAATAAATAACTAAATAAAAGCATATTTCAAAAGTTGCGACGTTTAGATTGCAATTTTGTCTTTAAAACTGTATTTCGGTGCATGCATGCACATCTATGATAAGCTTATTTTCTAATTATTTAAATGTATTTACTTATAACTGTACACGGAGACGTATACAATACCACCGCGGTACTTGAGAATTTAATCATTACAGCTATTTTGGACCTAAACAAAGATGTTCAGAGTAAACTTACACGTTATACAGGTTTAGATCATCTTTTGGTTATATAAATATCATTGGGGTGACATTTTTATCGAAAGTTGAACCCGGAATTAGTCCGTGGTTGATCATGAACTAAACCGCGTGGAATTACTCTGTCTTTGCGTATTGCAGAGTTATCTTCTCTTGGGAGCAGGTATTAATTGTTATGTTACTTGTTTGTGAGAGTAACGTCATCGATTTTTGAGAAAACAACGTAATTTTCTCGCACAAACCAATGACGTAACAATCAATACCTGGTCCCAAGAGAAGATAACTCTGCAATACGCAAAGACGGATCTCTGACTTGATGCAATGGCCTCTATTAATCATGCATATCAGAGAAGTCTATAGACAGATCTCAAGTTTTTAAACAACCCATGTCTCGGCTATCCATTAGTGGGACATTCGTTCAAGAAATAGTAGAACTATTTCACAATGTTACACAATTACAGCACATGTAGGATATGATTATCCCGTGTATATTTTGGTATTTTTTTCGCCATTTTTTTAACACGATCATTTTTGTTTGACTATACATCATCCGTTTGGTCCACGAGGGTAAGGTCTGTGGTGTGAAAGACGTGGGTCACAGGTCTCCGACCACATGGGGTTTTCACCGGGTACTCCGGCCGGGTTACTCCAAAATAAAGCCCACCCCTTCCGCTCCTACCATCCTGATTGATGTAAATCAAACAAATGTCTGTGTCAAACTTTTAATGAATTGACATGCTATATTGCTCATGCTAAATGTATAGTCGATCATCGGTCGCGTTTACTTCAACCACGGAATTAGATTAGATCTAAGTCCGTGCTTCAACAAATTCTGGTTAGCGCTATTTCAAAAGGAATCTTTCTCAAATTTCACATGTACATGTAAATTTCCCACGTTCCCTTGTGGTACATATTGAATTTAAGTGGGACTGATAAAAAACTTATTTGATACTTTCAAAGCTAAAGATTTTTATTTCTCCAGGAGTACTTCCATATCTTTCTTATTTTGTTTAACTCATTCACCCCTGAAAATGAACTATTCCAACCTTTGAATTGGAAGAGTTCAAATGTGTCTTCAGGGATTTCATTTCAAATATATTTAATTGATTAAACAAAAGGATTGAGCAACAGGCTTTGCCTATATAAGCTCTTTCCATGGCTTCCAGCATACTTTTGATAGTTGAAGACATTGAATACAATATTTACATACATACTCATCTCATGACACGTGGGTACATTTATTGCGAGGTAATATACAACAATTAGGCTGGATTAATATTTTCATGTTTTTATAAAATTACATCAGTTTCATGTGATACATTGACTTAAGATAAAAAATATATAATACAAACATTGCGATATTGATATTTAATATAGTTGTAAAATTTGTGTCAAGACAAATTAAATATACCGTTATGGATATACACAGTATTCCATATTGAATTAAATATATGGATATACGTCTTGACCTTGAGCCACTAAAATTTTGCTACGGCTACATAAAATAAAGCAAAACTGATACAGGCATGTATACTGATAAAGAAATGTACCAGGACTTATTTGAAGTAGATACGTCTTGAGATGAGTTGGAAAATCAAATAGAAAATGAACTTAAAGAAAACAGAAAAAAATGAAAACACAAAAAGATAACATAACTAATTATATAAGAACACAAGATAATCTCGAACACACACGCATGCACTCTAACACCACATATGTGTCTACTGGCATGGGTTTGTTGGTTTATAAAATGTAGTTTATATTTGTTTTAAATTAATGTGCAGTTGGGCATTAAATATGATAACAAAGTAAACTAGTTCAAAGGATACAAATATATGGCATTTTGGTATTTCACAATAAATTATTAGTTTTTCAATAATTAAATAAATTATAACTATTGACTTACATTACTCCATCATACCTTAAGTGTCATGACCACATAAAGTCCCAGGGAGGACATTTGTTCAATCAACCGTGGTATATTATGTATAAATATATACAGTCGAATCTGTATTAAGCGACCACCCAAGGGAAATAAAAAAAAAATGGTCGTTTGATAAAAGTGGTCGTTTAATAAAGTTTGACCATATTTTGTACACACAACCGACTTTAACCAAACGCCTCTTCAACTGTAAACAGACCACCGCCCCAAGCGCACGTACAGGTAGTTTAAAACAACATCGTTCAACAGATCAGGTGAATAACTAAACAATAGTCGAGGGATAATTATAACAGTAAACAAACAACAAAGAGCGTTTGAAAAGAATTTTCATTTCACTCAAAACAAAATATCATAATCAATTTTATTTTTTATTTTTTATTTTATTTAAGTGTCACAAATATTTTACATATCGACCGAGACTTGTTGAAGTTTTTAACTTACACGACTGTGTTTTCGGTAATTACCATGATTTAAGCTTACCTAATCGTAAAAACGGTCGGGAGGAATGAAAAGTGGTCGCATAAAACAGATGGTCGTTTAATACAGATGGTCGCTTGAGCAGATTCGACTGTATATAAATTATCCACTATCAACAGAAATAATGAATTTATCTTACAGAATACAAACAATACCTCAACCACATACAGCTTGTATATTTAACTTAATTTAATCTATTCAAACCGTCCTGTAGCATTAACGTATTTATGCACTCAATCCATCAATTGGTTGTTCTGTAAATCAATATTATTAGTGTTACCATTTAGAATAGTACTAAAGATATTGTATTATGGAAATCTACATCATTTAATATAAGATCCTGCATAAGAGTTTGTCGTTCATCTTTATAGAGAGGACATTCAAAACAGAAATGGTAAGAGTTTTCAATTGCGTGACTACAAGGACAGTTTGGACTATTTTTCTAGTGATCTTTAAACAGATCATAGTTTAGTTGACTAGCACCATTTCTTAATTGACACATTTATATATTACTTTTTCGTGAACCAGAGTATTTAAATTCAGGTGTACATACATTTTGTTCTGTGTCCCCTACAATTGTCTTTTGTATTTTCCTTTTAAAAGTAATAAGATAAGTAATATTAGTTAAGTTATTTTTGGCACTGTTCCATATGTTCATCATATTGGGAAAAAAACTATTAGCATATAGCGTGGTTCTAGGAAGAGGCACATTGAAAATTCTTGAGTGCCTAAGATTGCGTATATTTTCTTCTGTGTTTAATATATATGGTTGAATAATTTCATGTAGATAATTTGGGGTTATTTTGTTTGTTATTTTAAAGAAGAAGATGTGTTTATGTTTAACCCTCCTATTCTATAAACTTTCACACCCTATTTCTTCATATAATATACAATGGCTAGTGCCTTTTCTTAGACCAGTAATTATCCTTAAGTTATAACATCAAACTGGATAGATTCCAAGAGATATTTTTTTTGTCTTGTACAGTTATCCCAAATAACACAAGCATACTCTGGGATGAATGAGTTCAGTATGTTTTCTTTGAATGTGTTAGCTTTTCTGGATTTTTTGGCTTGTTTTATATTTCGATTATCTTCAAATTGCCTCAGCCTAGAAAAAATAGCTCCCAGACAACACAAACCTCTCCTTTCCTATATTTTACATATTACTATTTTTGAAAATTGGACAAGAGACAATCCAACGTTGACAGAACACTGCCAAACCCAGCTTCATGACGTTTTAATCAAGTTTCCACAAGATCAATCCAACAGATACAAGAGCTGAAGAGAAAAGATGAAGACCAAACATGAATTATGAAGAGGAAAACATTTTTTTTACAATAAATACAGTTTGTAGAAGGACGAGTCGGGGCTCCGGGCAATCCACGCACTTAATCTGTATTTAGTGTGTCCCCGAGTCCCAACTCGTCCTATTACAATAAAAAAACATTTTTGTTTTTAATTTATAACACAATTATTATGTTTTGAGTCAGATGCAGAGGATAAGAAATCCTGTACCAGAAATCTATCATCAAATTAAATAAAATTGAATAAAATAAAATAAAGTAAAAACTAAATTAAACATACACAGAACTAATGGAGATCGTGCGATCATAGTTGCTCTGCATTACGAAACAAGTTATTAAAACTTATATATTATATTAATCACCTTTGTTGGCCTAGATGTTAGCGCGCTGGTGGAAACCGGAGTACCCAGAGAAAACCCACGCAGTCGGGCAGGAGAACC